TCTCTGCTATGGCCTGGGAAAGCAGTAGAAGATGGCCCAAGTCCTTGGGTCTCTGCACCCATGTGGGAGACCCAGAAGAAGCTCCTGGCTCCTGGCTCCTGGCTCCGGCCGTTGCAGCCAATTGGGGAGTGAACCAGTGGATAAACGACCTCTCTCTCTGCCCCTCCTTCTCTATGCATAACTCTTTCAAATAAATAAATCTTTTAAAAAAAAGCAATCAGTAGCAACCCTAATACAAAAAGGTTTTTTTTTTTTTTGTCTTCCTGCCACAATTAGTAGCATAAATTTTAAGATGCTCATAAAGTCTGTTCAACAAGATGGACCTAACCCAGCAGTTGATAACAGGAATGACTGTAATTTTATAAATGTTAATGTAATTATTGATTTAGATGTTTATTTGAAAGGCACAGTGACTGAGAGATCTTCCATCTACTGGTGGACTCCCCAGATGGCTACAACAGCCAGGAGCCAGAAACTCCGTTCGGGTCTCCTGTGTGGGTGCACTGCTTCCCAGGCACATCAGCAGGGCGCCGGATGGGAAGCAGAGTAGCCAAGTAAGACTGGAGCTGGCTCAGCGTGGCTGGGGGCGTCCAAAGCAGCAGCTCGGCCCACATGCCCCAACGCCTGCCCCAGTGCAACCACCTCACCAGACGTCAGGCTGTTTAGAGAATTATGTTCAATTAGGAGAGAAGATCTGGTTCCAGCTTTAGTCCTAGGACTCAGGAGAAACCACCTGATTTCTTCGTTCACATCAGCACCTTCATCTAGGTCCAGGCCGGGCTGCTATGGCCTGCAGAGCGCGTACAGTATTCCTGTCTGTCCACTGCTCTGCTCCTGGTCTCCTGTGTGGCTCCTGGCACACAGCAGGTGCTCAGTCAAGGTTTGCTGGTGGACTGCGCTAACAACCAGAAAATGAAAATGTAAGAAAATGTAAATATTGTCACGTGTGCCTCAGAAGGTTGCTATGAGGTTTAAACAATGCAGTTATACAACATATGGGAATATGGGTGTGTTCTCTTCACATTTATAGAATGTGGACATATTGTTGAAACCCAACGGAAAAAGAAATTGAGGTACATGGGTTAATATTTTAAGTTATTTCAAATCACTCCAACCTGAAGACTCCAATTATCGCTTAAGATGAACAAGATTATGGAAACAGAATGATCTGTGATTTTCAACATGGGAGGTGGCAGATGACAAAGTATAACGCAACCTCCCTGTGCTGTGACACAGTCAGGAGACAGGAGCTCTCGGGTGAAAAGTGAAATCCTTACGTAAAGAAAAGGCAGCCGACGTGTTTCCCACGTTCAAACCTGTCCGAACAGCCCCGCAAAGGTCTAGCGTGGCAGCCCGCTCTCTGTGAGCCGCGGTGTGCACACGCGACAAGGGAGTGCGACGCCGCCAGGACAGACGGGGACTAGTGCTCCACTGGCACTGCCCATCATGCTTCTCACAGGAGGAACGCGGGCCAGCAGGCGAGCGCACGTTACCCGGGCACGGGGTCCTCTGAGCTCCCTGGGACGCTGAGGGCTGGCAGCTTTCCTGGCAGCGCAGCCTCCCGCGATGTGACACCGCGACACCGCGTGCAGACAGCCTCTGGAGGGTGAAGGCGCTCGGGAAGTCAGCGCTGACAGCACGGGCACCTGCTGTGCGTGAGTGCTGACCGCAATGCAACCTCACTCACAGTTACAGAGGAGCCTTGGGTAGCCTACGCAAATGAATCAAACGTGTCATTTTTATTAGCTTTGTCATCTTATCACTTGTGATCTGCCCTCGAGCCGTGCTGACCGAATGAAACCCAACCTGCTGGTCCCCAGGGGCCTCGGGCTCGGGTCCCCGGTGGTCCGCGCCGCTCACGTGGCCGCCAGGGTTTCACGGCTCGGCGGCCCCCGGCAGCTGGGAGAGTTCTTCCCTCCCCGAGGACTTCCTCATCTCCGTCTGCTCGGTGGGCGCCGCGTGCTCGCCGTCCTCCAGCGGCCGCCTCTCCTGGGACGGCTCTTCCTCTGAAAACAGCCGCTGGGCCCGGGCCGCGCCGGCCTCCTGGAAGTCGTAGTCCAGCGGATCTCTCGCGCCTTCCGGGTCGCCGAGCTCGTCCTCGGATTTCAGGGACGAGTGCCTGGCCTCCTTCTGGTCGTACATGCCCAGCCTCCTCTCCACCACCTCACGGATCAGCACTGAAACATCACGTGTTCAGTCACTATTCCCGTCCACACTTCAGCACGAGCAATGCTGACTTACAGCCGCCTCCCCGCCCTCCGTAACCTTCCGTAAAAGCGCACGTAACTTCCGGACCACTGAATGCAGTGAATGTGAATTCTGTCCTCTGCCTGTCGTAGCAGGACACCATTTAGAAAGCAACGACAGAAAGTATTAACACCGACAGAATTGCAGAACAAAAAATAGTACTGGAGGTGAGAATCTGTATCTTTGTTAATGAAACTGATATACTGAACATTTAAGTATTGCCACTGTAAAACTTTTATTTTTTCAATTTATTTCTTCCACTGAAGACTTCTTTTTTTGAAAGATACAGAGAGACAGAGAGAGAGAGAGAGACAGAGACACACACACACACACAGAGAAAGGACACAGAGACAGAGTGATCTGTCCACAGGCCTGCCACGGGCCTGGAACCCCAAGTCTGCCACATGGGTAGCAGGGACCCAAGACCTGAGCCATCACCACGGTCTCCCAGGGTGTATATAAGCAGGACACTGGAATCCGAAGTGCAGCTGGGACTTCAACCTTGGCACCTGACACGGGTGTGGGGGTCCCGGGAGGCGTCTTACCCACGGCACCGAGTGTCTGCCCTGAGGACGTCTGAATGAAACCACTTACTGTCAAGCACTGTTCTTCCCACCATGCTGTACTCCATGGTTTTTTCCACTTCGTTCATTACCCACGGGAGAAATCCTAACTCGATATCTGTAATAAAAACATTTCATTAAGTGATTTTTGTTTTTTAATTTTTAATAAAAGATTTATTTATTTGAAAAGCAGCATTACATAGAGAGGTCTTCCATCCACTGGTTCATTTCCCACATGGCTTCAATGACCAGTGCTGGGCCAGGCTGAAGCCAGAAGCCAGGAGCTTCTTCTAGGTCTCCCACGAGAGTGCAGGGGCCCTAGGGCTGGGCCATCCTCCACTGCTTCCCCAGCACATTAGCAGGGAGCTGGATCAGAAGTGGAGCAGCCAGCACTCGACCTGGTGCTGATCTGGGATGCCAGTGTTTCAGGCCACAGCTTAACCTGTTACGCCACAATACTGCCCATGGATCTTATGAATCATTACAGATAGAATGTACAGATCCCCTAATACGGATTCATCAACACTGTTGATTCTTAGATTCACACAGAATAACTTTTGTCACTTTTTTTTTTTTTTTTGAACAGGCAGAGTGGACAGTGAGAGAGAGACAGAGAGAAAGGTCTTCCTTTGCCGTTGGTTCACCCTCCAATGGCTGCCGCTGCTGGTGTACCACACTGATCCGATGGCAGGAGCCAGGTGCTTCTCCTGGTCTCCCATGGGGTGCAGGGCCCAAGCACTTGGGCCATCCTCCACTGCACTCCCTGGCCACAGCAGAGAGCTGGCATGGAAGAGGGGCAACCGGGACAGAATCTGGCGCCCCAACCAGGACTAGAACCCGGTGTGCCGGTGCCGCAGGCGGAGGATTAGCCTACTGAGCCGCGGCGCCAGCCATCACATTCTCTTCGTATGTTCCAGTTTCCTTCCTATTGCGACAGAAGTAATGGTGTAAAGAACGATGAGGTCTCCTTGAAGACCAAGCATTTGGAGCTGGCTTCACAGACGCAACCTGAGCGGGATCAAGGAGGCTGGGAAGAGGTGGGTCTGGGAGAACTCGAACCCACACGCCACGCACACCCGGGACTGCGCAGGGCCAGAGGGCAGATGCCCCCGACCGAAGCCCAGGGCCCAGCGGACGCCGACTGCCTTAGAGGATGGGTCACTGGAGTGAATCCATCTCCCTCTCCCCTCTGCACTCTGCCAGCAGCTCCCTGCTGACCCGGGGACAATGGGAACGTCTGTTCAATTCAACAGATAAATGATGCTTGCGTGAGGATTGCAGAAGTCGGCCTTAGGAGAGCTGGGTGCAGCTGCAGAGCAACCTGGCCTACGTCAGCCAGCAAGGCCCGAGGACCGGATTCCCGGCTGCAGGCTCAGGTAACCACCAGAGGACTGCCCTCCGTCCCCTTGTTCTGCTCCCTTCCAAAGCCGTCCTACGGCAGAGTCGGGGGAATGGAGACGTCTGCTTTTTCCCCAAGTTGGCTGGCCTCTTAGGCAGACCTGGCTCCTCGCGTCAGCTCTTGTCTCTTCCAGCGTCGAGCGGCCCAGGCCTCACTTGAAGAACATCAGATGCAGGTCGGGGTGTCCGGGAAGATGACGGCTCAGCAAACAGCGCCTCCACTACAAGTGAGCTCGTGCACGTTGAAATGTGTACGCAGGTCAAAAGTGTCGCCCACCGCAATGTACAGCTTCAAGTTTCAAAACAGCTTTTTTTGGGAGGGGGACAGACATCTAACCATTGTTTCTTAACAGGATGACCTCGGAGAGTACGACAGACATTTGCTACTATAATTTTAGTCTCAGCATGAATTTCATTTGAAGCTTTTAAATGGTCCACATCTGACGTTTCCAGCAATATGTGACAGGAAAAGACTAGTGGTCTCTGAGACTCAGGAGAACCCAAGACCACCCCGCATCACGAGGGTCGGAGCTGCAGGTCAGGGTGGACCCGACACTCCGCAGGGCATCCGAACAGGGCACGTGCGTTCTCTGAGCTTCCGTTTCCGCGTCTGAAGGTCGGGAGTTGGATCGGATCTGCCCCCCAGTCAGCGGGAGGATGGAACAACGTCCCAGCTGAAGGACAAATGGAAGCTGGAGAGTGCACTGGACACAGAACGAGTGGTGTCGGACACCTGGGCCCTGGGCAGAACACGAGCCCCTGGAGCGCAGCAGCACTAGCAAGCCCGAGTGCTTTCTTTCTTTTTTTTTCCTTTTTAAGGATTTTATGTATTTTACTTTAGAGGTAGAGTTACAGACAGTGAGAGGGAGAGACAGAGAGAAAGGTCTTCCTTCTGTTGGTTCACTCCCCAGATGGCCACAACGGTTGAAACTGTGCTGATTCGAAGCCAGGAGCCAGGTGCTTCTCCCGGTCTCCCATGGGGTGCAGGGCCCAAGCACTTGGGCCATCCTCCACTGCCCTCCCGGGCCACAGCAGAGAGCTGGCCTGGAAGAGGGGCAACCGGGACTAGAACAGGTGCCCATATGGGATGCCGGCGCCGCAGGCGGAAGATTAGCCAAGTGAGCCACGGCGCCGGCCCCGCTAAGTGCTTTCTAAGCCGGGGAGGGAGAGCTGCACGGAGGCCACGCACCTCTTCCCCTTCCCGCCCGCTTGGGGTGGCCGGTGAGGAGGCGCTAACTCAGGAGGCCAGAGTGGGTTCCTCCTTTTGTTTTCTAACCTCTAACTCCTGACGCAGTGCCCAATTTAATGAGTAAATGACCCCAGGAGCTGCCCCCCAGGGTTTCTGGTTGGAACGGGAGCTCCTCTGGGCAGGTCACTGCAGCCACCACCGCACAGCCGGGCCTTCATGGCTTCCGCGGGCTTTCACGGACTCCGCGGCGTCCCTGCTCAACCGCGCTTTCCACACTTCGCACAGGACGCAGCTGCTGGGCCCAGCCTCGGGGCTCTGACGTCCTCCTGCCGCTCCCTGCCGCTCCGCCGCGAGGCAGTGCTCACATTCTGCAAGCCAGGTCTTCACAGCTCAGCGCCGGGCAGCAACAGCGCTCACCCGAGAAAAGTGTAACTGATTCTTGTTTGAGAGAGAGACCCCAGCTGAAAACAGAAGTGGGCCTGAGATACACGCGGACCACTAAGAGGATGCTCCTCCTAACAGTTCCTCCAGCAAACGCATCACAAACCTCTCTCGATGGGGTCGTAGAAGTAGCCACTGTCCCTGAGGCTGCCAAACACAGACGGGAGGAGGTCGGCCAGGTAGCGCTGCGCGAACGCGCGGGCCGAGATCTTCTGGGAGGTCTCGTTGTGCTTGTGGATTATTTCCCACTGCTGCTGCTTCCGCCGCTCCTGCCAAGGGCAACGCCGCAGAGGGTTACTTACTGCCCTCCCAGGACTGGATCTGACGACGCAAACAGAACTCATCGAGGGGACACAGCGAGGCGTCTGTCTGTGAAGGGTCTCATTTTTCTACAAGATTTTAAGAACTTCAACAGGGCTTCTGGCTTCTGCCTGCCCCAGCCCTGGCTACTGGGGGGCATCTGGGGAGTGAAAAAGATGGAAAACTCCTAAGATTTACTTATGTAAATGCAGAGAGGGAGAGAGAGAACATGAGACTGACACAGATCTTCCATCTACTGTTCACTCCTCAAACACTTGCAATAGCCAGGGCTGGGCCAGGTGGCAGCCAGGAACCAGGAATCCCACCCGGTTCTCTCACGTGCGTGGTAGACGCGCAAGTGTGCGAGCCGGGAGCCAGGATCTGCTGCTTCCCAGGCGCACTATCAGGGTGCTGGGTGGGAGGAGTCGCCAGGACTGGGACTGGCGCCCCAGAGCAGGCTGTGGGCAGCCCAAGAACAGCTCAGCCTGCTGCGTCACAAGGCCTGCCCATCTGTCTCTCGCATTCTCTCTAGCTTGTTCTGCCTTTCAAATAAAATGAAGACAAACTTAAAAAGACACAAAAGATGGAGCCTAAGGTCAAACTCATCACCTGGTCCATTTTCAAGTATATGAGATACATATGCCTGACTGGTGATAGCAAATGCACGGTGGTTATGTGTGTTTTCATCAGTGTTACCTAAGACCACAGGCTGTTTCTGATAGGAATTTTCATCAGTGTTACCTAAGACCACAGGCTGTTTCTGATAGGAATTTTCATCAGTATTATCTAAGACCACAGGCTGTTTCTGATAGGAATTTTCATCAGTATTATCTAAGACCACAGGCTGTTTCCGAAAGGAAAATCAGAACTGCTTAGACATCCTGAGTTAAGGAACTCAGGCCAGTGGATTAAGGCATCTGTAATAATTTCTGTATTCAGAAAGTGGACATGGTTCTGAAGATTAGAAAGTCACTTATTCTGGGGGGCTGCTTCCTTGGTATCTATGATGCTAAAAGAACATGACTGTTTTTCTAATTAAATCTATCTTCAGTGCTTATACACTTAGATAATTGGTGTTCAGTTTTGCCAGAATATGTTTCCTACCAGTAAATAAAGGTTTTTTTTTTTTTTGATAGATTTCGCTTATTTCAACAAGGCCCATCAGTGTTTATTTTGTATTCGTAAATACAGTCTTCATTTGCACCTTCCTTGCTGTAAGCACTCTGCTCTTTCCACAATCATCACCCGGGGCGGGGTGGGGTGTGTGTGTGACTTAGAGCCAGGTGATTACAGCTGTAGGTGTTGATTACGATCTCAACTGCTCTCCATGCCAGGTTAGCCTTTCAGGAAATGGCTTTAACTGTGCTGGGTGTTCAGGCACCACTTCACGGTTTGTTCCTGCAGTGCACTGCCACAACTAGAAAGACCCTCCAGACGACTGAGTTTAGCATTTCCTACCTGCAAGCTACTGGCGTTTTAATTAAGACAGAAAAAAACATCTAGGTTATACAGTTTTCCTTATGAAAGGTTCTGAAAACTTCTGATCTGAGACGCTCCAGAAGACCAAGCGTTCCCAGGTGTCCCTGAGGGTGCAGAGAGGAGCCCCGCCATGGCGGAAAGACCCAGCACTCCACTCGGGCCCTCGGCCTCCTGCTCCCTCGGGGCCCAGCACCTCGACTTTCTCCTCCTTTCCGTGTTCCTGGCACTAGCATATGGAAAGTCGCACGTTTCTTTCTCTAGGACTCCTGATATGTGAGAGCGCCGTCCAGCTAGGACTTGCATTTCATCTGGGACCTGATGGAAGCCAAGTTTACGTGGGCCGACAAAGGTGAGACCTGGTAACAAAGAGCGGAGGCTTTTCCTAAGGTATTCCCGCGCATCTTCGGTGTTATGGCATCCTCTGTGTAGCTGTGCACTTAATACGTTAAACAGCCAGAGACGGCGGCGGCACCACAGGGTGCGTACCTTCTCCTCCCGGTGCCGTCTCTCCTGCTCTTCCAGCCGCTGGACCTCGGCCAGTTCGATATTCCGGATCTCCTCATACGCGTACTGCCCAGCGCGCAGGTTAGCCAGCTCCTCCTCCTCCATCACTTCCAGGAGAGCCTGCTCGATTGTTTTCCCCACCAAGACTTCTAGCATTGGCTTCACTTCAAGGTCGAAGTCAAAGAGCTGGAACACAAAACAAGCAAACTGGAAATGTTGACCACGAACCTGATGTGCAGTAAGAACACAAAGAACAGCAATGAAACAATATTATTTACTAATCGTCTTCTGTGTCCCAGGCGCTGTGCTGGTCTTCATTTATGGTTTCTAATTCTCAAAACAACATTGCAAGGTACACAGTACCATCCTGTTTACATGCAAACATGCATTAAGTCAAATTGGGGAAAAAAATGACCTATGCATTCATCAAAATGAACTCTGACCTCAATTTTAAGGTGGCTCAAAGTCTGAGACCCAAGAGAAATATCCTTGTCTGTCTTATTCTCTGCATGTCCTGCTCTATTTCTAAATAAATGTTTTTTATTATTTTTAAAATTAGATAATTTTATTTTGTTTGAGGGGCAAGACAGACTGAGAGACAGCAGACACTGAGCTGCCGTCTGCTTGTTCACACTTCAAATACAACAGGCCCTGGGTGGGGCCAAAGCAGGGGCAGGGAACCCCATCCGGGTCTTGCAGGTGGGGCAGGGGCTCACACCCTTCAGCCATCACCTGCTGCCCC